CAGTGTAGAAATAGCTAAGTCTAGAAAATAAAATCTATTCCATTAATTTTCTCATCAGAGAAACAAGAAATTTCTCTGTTACAGTATTTTTATACAAATCTGACCCATACTAACAAAGACAAAGAATTTAAATTTTCTTTGTTACGTTCTAGTATTTTTTTTTTTCTTAAAATGAGGATATTTTATCGTTTCAGGTAATTTTCCCAGAGCTGAGAGTAGTACATGGGAAACTCTCTTTAGTCCAGCTCTAGTATTACAGTTTGGTGCTCAAGGCCACCCAACAGAACAGTGATACTCTCCCAACAGATTTCATGCAACCTGTCTCCACTAACTTTTGCCATTAATATTCCTCTGAATTGTGTCTTCTTGGAAGAAGTAAATATCTGTTCAACTATACAAAGAAACAGAGAAACCACTCCCATTGCAATCAATCTTCAAGAGAGGGAGCAGGCAGGCCGTGTTCTTTCTGCTGAGTTTTATAGACTCTGACAAGCTGTGAAACAAACATAAACAGAAGACAAAACAGTGCCCCAAATAAGCAGTAGATGACCCTGTGACAAGACTGCATTGCAGAACAAAGACTGACGTTTAAAGGAGAGTCATGCAGGTAACTTGGGAATACAAGCCTGACAACCTGGTCAGCTTCCACTTATTCTAGCTTCCACTTACTCTAGCTCCTTTGAACTCTCAACACTAAAAATATTATTATTACCTCTGCAGGCGCATAGGTGCCAAATCCCAGGACGGGCATGAAGTGGCCATCATTCAGCTTCACACGCTGATGTTTCGAATCCATTTCTGTCACTGGCCTGGTTGGCAAATGTTTCTTTCTTCCTCCCTCACAGGCTATAAGAGCAATTAGCTGGCAACGCCCCTGGACATACTGACTGTGAGTTAACCAACAGCATGTGAGAGGAGGGACAGAGGCAATCTTACACAGGCAGTGATAAAAATGGAAGCCAGTTCAACTGTTTCTTATCTAAGAAAATTCATAAGTAAATTATCAGGAGGGCGTGATACACTCATTAATTTCTCTCAGAAGTATTTTTGCTGTTCCAAATCTCTATATATATGATATAAATTATTCAAAGAGATTTGTAGAACAAATGGTGACTTTACATAAGACTACAGAAAAGGAGCTACTAAGCTCTTTTTGGTTTGTGCCATGATGATGTTCCTTCTGTATCGTACAGCATTTGAAATGACTAGTTTTCATTTTTCTCTCTCACACACACACAATTTAAAGGAATGACTAATGAGCATTTCTTTAAAATATTGCCCTCAATTAAAAATTAAAGTTACAATTTTAAAATGTGTTACTTTTTCATCAGCAAATTTATTGTTTCTTTCTTATTAGCCTTATGAGAGAAATATCCCTTCCTGATCAAGGTGCAGTCCTGATAAAGTTGTAATCCTGATGTGGGTGTAAATAAAAAATAAAATTTGATGTGGTTTTATTGGAGGATTTCTTATTAACAGCGTTTGGACTTTGGATATAATTTGTAATATGCAAACTGTGCCTATCTTATTTGTCTTATCCAGCCAGTTTTATGAGTTACTATCAAAAAGTAACAAGCCAAAAACCTGATAACTATTAGATATACTTTATAATATTGTTAAACATTATTCCTAAAGAAAAACTGGTAACTAATGACATATAAACTGGTGAATAATCCTCACATGGGATAATTTTTACTTCATTCTCCCTTTGGAGGGCAGGTTAGAACATGAATGTAGTTTGCATGATCCATGATTCACATCTTGGAGTAGTCACAACTTGCAGTGCCATGATTGCTTCTATTTGCTTCCTTATAAAACAAACAGAAATTGAAACATAAGTAAATTGTTATACATTAACATAAATGTAATATTATAAAGATATTGAAATTTCTCAACAAGATGGTGGATTATAAGACTCCCATATGACTCATAGAAACATCAGAAAGTATCTAAAATTGACTGAAATAAACTTATTTATTTATGGAGTAGCTCAGTAGCTCAGTAGAGATTCAGGGTGACTATACACATACAGATGTTACAGGCAAAAGACTAGAGGAAGAGACATGCAGTAGTCCATCTAAGTCATTGAGGAAAAACTGGGATGCAAAATTTTTCAATAGTAAGTGATTCAAAAGCCATTGGTTATTTGGGGAAAAATAAAATGGCAAAAACAATCCATGTAGGTGCATGTTCAGAAACAAATTAAGAAGTCCTTGAGGTTTTATGTAGGGCTGATGCCTTGACTGAGAACCTGACACACATATGAGTTGATGACTGTCATGACAGAACAAATCTATATACAGTAAAAAAGATGTTTTATTTTTTTCAAATGCCCAGTTAAATAAAATAACAAGGCATACAGGCCGGGCACGATGGCTCATGCCTGTAATCCCAGCACTTTGGGAGGACAAGGAGGGCAGATCACGAGGTTAGGAGAAGGAGACCATCCTGGCTAACATGGTGGAACGCCATCTCTACTAAAATCCAAAAGAAAATAAAAACAGCTGGATGTGGTGGTGAGCACCTGTAGTCCCAGCTACTCAGGATTCCCCTGCAAAAGCAGGGGAATCACTTGAAACCAGGAGGCAGAGGTTGCAGTGAGCTGAGATGGCACCACTGTACTCCAGCCTGGTGACAGAGCAAGACTCCAGCTCAAAGAAATAAAACAAGATAACAAGGCATACAAAGAAACAGGAAATCACAGTCCATTATGAGAAAGAAAATAAATCAGTAGAAATCATTCTTGAAGAATCACAGGTATTAAAATTAGTAGAGAAGCATTTAAACAACTGTCTTAAATATGCTAAAATTGCTAATGAAAACTATGGATTAAGAGCTACAGAAAATCTGGGAAAAAAAGAAAATCTAAATATAGTCATAACACAGAAACTATAAAAAAGAAATGGAAACAAATTGGAGGGAGAATACAATCATCAAAACTTTTTCAAATTGGTTAAAGACAAGAATCTACAAATTCAGGCAACTAAAAGAACTGCATATAGCATAAACTCAAAGAGACTCAGACCTGTATGTGTTATCATCCAACTCTAAAAGCCAGACAAAGAGATAATCTTTATATAGCAAGAGATTTTGGGAAGCTGAGGTGGGCGGATCACCTGAGGTCAGGAGTTTGAGACCAGCCTGGATAACATGGTGAAACCCTATTTCTACTAAAAATACAAAAAATTAGCTGGGCATGGGGGCACACATCTGTAATTCCAGCTACTCGGGAGGCTAAGCCAGAAAAATAGCTTAAACCCGGGAGGCAGAGGTTGCAGTGAGTCGAGATTGCACCATCGCACTCCAGCTTGCGCAACAAAAGCAAAACTCCATCTAAAACAACAACAACAATGAAAATAAAAATCAGGAAGAGAAACATAATGCATGGGGTGCAAGGGATCCTGGACAAGATGATCCGCAGATTTCTTATGAGAGTCTTTGGAAGATATAGTAGGTGATATATTAAATGTGATCAATAAAGAAATAATTTCACCCAATAATTCCATACTTGGCAAAAAAAAATTATTCCAACTTAAAAAAATTTTTTTTGTTTGAGATGGAGTTTTGCTCTGTCACCAGGTTGGAGTGCAGTGGTGCGATCTCAGCTCACTGCAATCTCTGCCTCCCGGGTTCAAGCAATTATCCTGCCTGTGCCTCCTGAGTAGCTTGGACTACTGGCAGGCACAACCACACCCAGCTAATTTTGGTATTTTTAGTAGAGACGGGGTTTCACCACAGTGGCCAGGATGGTTCAATCTCTTGACCTCATGATTCCCCACACTGGCCTCCCAATGTGCTGGGATTACAGGCGCTAGCCACCATACCCAGCCCAGCCAAATTATTTCTTAAAAATTAGAAAGTTATTAAGACTATGTGATGTAAAAGCGGAAGGAGTTCATTGCCTTTAGAACTGCTCTACAAGAAATGCTAAAGAGAGTAATTTGCTTTGAAATGAAAGAATTTTAGACAGCAACATGAAGTCATATAGAGGCATAAAGACCTCTCGTAAAGGTAGGTGTAAGAAAAATGTGGAAACACGTATTTGTGAAAGTTTGCTTTTTACAGTCATTTTCTTCAAGATTTACATTACAAATGTGTACGAATAAGAATATATTTCTGTTAACATGTACACCACATATAAAGTTGTAATTAGTGACATCAATAATGTGAAGTGGAAACGTAGGTGTGGAAAAGTAGAGTTTTTGTAAGGAATCGAAGTTCACATTGATTTCAATGTGGATGGTATAACTATAGGATGCAGTATGTCATTTCAATGGTAACTACAAAGAAAATAATTACAGATTATGCACAAGATAAATTAAAAAGGGAATACAAATTTCAGCAAAAAATCATAGAAACCCCAAAATATTGTTAGTTGAGTAGATAAAGAACAAAAAGCTGAAGACATAAACTTCTTTCTTACATACAAAATCCAATCAGTTTATCTCAAGAATCTCCAAAGCCTTATCAGGTTTAGAAGCAACTTAAATGTCTAAAATGCAAAGATTTATCTGAGATCCAAGACAAATTTCTACCAGCTATGAGCCGGTAAAATCAAAAACAAGTTATTTACTTCCAAATTACAATGGTTTTATAGGCAGCGGTTGAACAATCTCATTTCAAAAGGGAAATGTCAGTTGAAAGAGAAGAAGAAGAGACTTCATGCAAGTCATAAACCCAACAGGGCAGAAATTACATCTTAAACTTGCAAAATCATCTTCCGTGACCCTATATTCTTCATTCTGGGCACACTGGTGCCAGGGGTAGGCTTCTGGGGTTTTGGGCAGCACTGTACCTGTGGCTTTGCAGGGTGCAGCTCACATGGCTGCCCTCACAGTTTGGAGTTTAATGCCCCTGGCTTTTCCAGGCTGAAGTTGTAAGCAGCTGGTAGATTTATAATTCTGGAATTTTTAGGGGTGAGGCCTTTCTCCCGTAGCTTCGTTACGCAATGCACCTATGGGGTCCCTCTGCAGAACTCCAACCACATATTATTGCTCAACACTGCCTAAATAAAAGCTCTATGTTGGGACTCCAGCCCTGGAACAGGTTTCTTTCTGGACATCCAGGATTCCTGACACATTGTCTGAAATCTAGGTGGCAAGTGCCAAGCCTCAACCACTCTTATGCTCCAGAGAGCTCAGGCTCAAAGCTCCCTTCTTCTATTTATCACTCTCTACTCATTTGCTCCAGTGACCAAGTGTGTGTCATGCACCTTGCCAATGCTCAAGGGGTACCTTTTACACGGGAGCTTCTGCCTGACCAATGTGGGTCGTGGAGTCGACAAGAACTAAAACTTTCCACAGCTCGTATACAATGTGGTGGAAAAAAACTGATTTCAGGAGACCACAGGAATTCTCAGTCCTATAGGTGAGGGAGAGGGAGAGGAACATGAGGAAAGGAACATGGGAAGAGGGAGGAAAGCAGATGTAAGATGGAAGACCGGGGAGGAAAGAAATGGGATGTCCTTGAGTCATACATGAAGAACACTCACATGCCTCAAGTAAATAACTGATCCTAATTTCTTCTCCCTATCTTTTTTCCTAAACAAGTGTTACAGTTTGCAAAGAACTCCAAATAGTTTCTCAACAAATATATGTTGATATGACACTTTAAACAAATGATGTTTGCCAGCACTGTTTGTCCTGAGATTTCCTGTTTGGTTGACTCAATTCTCTGGGGTGAAGAGGATCTATGTGAAGAAGAAGGGGTACGCTTGAGTCTCACAGAGGTTTGTGGGTGAAGTCATGTCTGTGAGAGGCTGTGGAAACTCACAGTTTGCTGCATTACTGGGGGAAATGGTGGGACACCCAAAGCCGTGCAGGAGGAAAAAGAAAGAGCTGGGAGGCTGTGGAGGAGGCTGTGGAGGAGGCTGAGGTTCTGCGGATGCCCTGGAGAAAATTTTGGGGAAAAGAGAGAGATGCCTAAAGCAATATGTAGGAAGTTTTAATTATGACATTAGATGAAATTTCACAACCCATGAAATTTAAAGTAAATGCCACATTGCTCAGTTTGTTCATAGAGTGAACTCTGAAGAAACAACTGTGTCACCGTGTTCACTCTGGATGAGTGATGATTCCACCAAGCACTTTTTGAGATGCCTGCCTCTTCTGCACTGTTTGTTATTTTACTATTTCTCAATACTATTGTCCACCCTTCAAGCTAATGGGGTTGATGCAGTCAGGTTGACTCAGCAGCTTGCACACCTTCTGACCACTCCTGGATAGCTCAACAGCAGGGGAGGTTGTAAAGAGAAAATTATTCATTTTTATAGTTGTTTTGATTAGCATAAAACCAGGTGAGAAAAACGTGTTTCTGAATGGTTGAAACTCCATGTGATATGGACAGGAGACAGGGAAATACTGGGTAGAAGAGGGTGATTTCCCAGCAAAGGTCCCACCCTCCAGCCTGGATACCTGTGCCCCTAAATGAGAAAGGGCATTTCAGTTTTCACACTCCCAAAATTTGCCTTTTGGCCCACCATGCCTCCAGTCTGTCCCTGTATAAACTTCCAAACCTAAGATCCAGGGCAGACCAGCAGGTGAGGAGACAAGGAGGCAACCAGATGGATGGCAAACAATGACGCGGAGAAAGAGGGAAGAGGAGGGACATTGGACACTGAATGGAGTTTGGCCTTGGGGGATTGGAGAAGAGTCCGGCCACTGGGCAGCCTGACTCCATGGGAAGATCACCTTCCTACTCCATTCCCCCATTCCGGCTCCACATCCATCTTGCTGAGAGCTGCCTCCACCACTCAATAAAATCTTGCACTCATCCTTTGAGCCCACATGTGGTCTGACTCTTCTGGGATGCCTGGCAAGAGCTTGGGATACAGAAAGCTGTCAAACTGGCCCTCTGCTTTAGAGATAAGTCAGAGAGTCTGTGGAGCTGCAGACTCAAGCTGTGTGCAGATGGCAAAGCTGAAAGAGCTTTGTAACACTGTGGTTGCAGGCACCCACACCTAGACGCTATCATGGAGCCAGAGCCCAAAGCGCTTGCCGTGGCCTGTGCACCTGCCCATCTCCATGCTCCCCTCTCTTCAAGGAGTTTGAACAGGTGAGCCACACCCCTGTCACAAGTCCTGCAAGGGGAATCAGGAAAGTGTCGCATTTCACATACAAATCTGTTAGCACCACATCAAGAAGTCTAAGGAATGGTAAGCTCTGGGGGTCGCCCAGGAGCATCTGTAACTTCTCTCATCTTTTCCCTGACTCTTCTTCCTCTGTTTATTGATGTCATCCTCAGGCTGGGTGGAGGCTGCTGCAGCAATTTTAGATCTCCCAGAGCAACAGGACAAGAGCCACTTGAAGAAGAGGGGTAGCTGCATCTTACAAGCTTCT